CGTCCAGAATTTAGAACAAAATATCAAACTTGATTATGACACTCCTGAACGTTAATAACTTGAAAGTGATAGAATTTAGATAAGTTTCGACACATTTTTCATAAATAAATAAATAAAAGGAACTCTTCATCTTATTAGACAATGTTTAAATTATCTTGACAAGGTAAAAAAAAATACAAGTAGTGGACATGAATACCAATTGCATTTAAATATAAGCCAATCAATTTGGGGAAAAAAGTGGCCTAATACACTAAAACAAACCCCAAGTTTAGGTCCAGTCCCAATTCTACATAAACTTTTTTGAGTTCATGAAAACCCTCAACTTATATTCAAGTCACAATTCTATCCAAAACTTTTTTTTTTGTCCCATGAAAAACCTCCATTAGGTTATGTCCATGAAATTATTTTAGTCTCATAAAAAACACAATTTTTTTTATTAATTTTTTAATATCATAAAAACGCAAAATTTTACTTGAGTCATAAATCTTCCCTCGTTAACCTTCCGTCCAAAATTTCTCATTGACAATCAAGAGATGGAAAACTCCCAAGCATGAGTTGTTCGAGCGTCCCAAGCTGAGTGTCCCGAGTGCAAACTCTCTGATAGCGAGAGATGGAACACTCACGAGCACAATAGATTGAAGGCCAAGCACAAAATCGAAGATTTCTGACCAAGATGGAAAGTAGACTCTCTTAAGAGTAAGAGCAATTGAAGAAAGCCAACCCTAATTGCTCTAGTTTTTACTCAAATTTCAGATCCAAGAAGAAGTTGTTTGGGCAGATGTGATAATTCAACTCCAAAAGACTTCTTCTTTGATCTAAAATTTGGGGAAAAACTAGAGTAATGACGTGGAAATGCCATGCAGGATTACTAAGGATGATTTTAGACGGAGGGTTAATAGTGGCAGATTTAGGTTTCAAGTAAAAATTTATGATTTTTAAAGAGAAAAAAAAATTAGTGTAGAATTAGAACATGACCTAAAGCTATAGGTTTTTTATGAAACAAAAAAAAAGTTTATGGTAGAATTGAGACTAGATTTAAAGTTGGGGATTTTTTATAAGAAAAAAAGTTTTGGATAGAATTGAGACTGGAGCTAAAGTTGAAATTATTAACAATATTAGGCTAGAAACAAATTATAATAGTCGAGGTCTTGTTCTCCCACAAATTAAATTAACAAGTTGCTATGCATCTTCCACTCATTAAATGTTTAGTGATAAATTGACTTTAACGACAAAAAGAATGATTAAATCGACTTGGATCAATAAAGCATGCATTCAGAGTATGTGTCATCGCAACACGTGTACACATTTCTAGTTCTTTATAAGTAATTCAATTTATAGGTTTTTTTATGTTTTTTGCTTTATTTACTAACATTTTTATTGTGTTAATTACTTTTTTAAATGACGTGAAGTTTTATCCAAATAACACATACATATGAAGAGCTTAAAGTTGATTAAATGAGTCAGTATGGATTTTCCTAGATTTGATAAATATTAATGTATTTTAGTAATATGGTCGAGTTGGGTATGGGTTGGGTACTGGTTAGTTCGAGTATGTAAAATCTGTATTCATGCTGCTCCTTCCTTGTATCACAAGTTTACAAGTCTTTTTTTAACTGAAAATGCTTACTTTGTGAGTTTCTCCTCTCATTGATATTTTGTAATTTCTTCCACAATGTTCTGGCCTTAGTTTCCTGAGCAACAAGATGAAAAACATTATCATCAATCCATTGTCAAATAAATCCAACCGTTTTCTGATTTATTCACTCCCATTCTTTATCATCTTTGTCTTTTTTAGACGCATCACCATCGATCGGATCATGCAAATCCTTACGGGTGTAATATATATTCTATCCGAGTTTTCCAAAAGAGTAATTTGAGGCCTTTAACTTAAACATGGTGCAGCTAGTTTGATCCATCACGCTAGCTTTGATACCACTTTATTGGAGAGAAAGGATAACAAGTTACTATTCAAATCTGATTAGGATCAATATATATCTTCTCCAAAACTCAACCAACTAATATCAAATTAACTCCAGCAGCAAGCGGTCACAATATTTCAGCAACATCAACCCCTAATCAGTAAGTTTAGTGCTAAAAAAAAGAAGAAATAGAAAAACAACACCCACAAATTTTACATGAAAAATCCAACGTGGGAAAAACCATAGGCCGTTCAAAAAACTTCCACTAATCACCAATAATAGCATAATACACAATAATTCATCTCTGGTTACATAGCTAGAAGCTCTTTACATCAGCAAAACATCAATTTATCATCACTACAAAGACAAATTAACACAAAGAAGCAAAAAATTATTAACCATTGCTAGAGAAATTCAAAGACAATTTGGAGAAGGATTTTAACGAACAAAACCAATCAATTTATAGGTCTTGATCTCACGAACAACACACTAAAAATTTAGTCTATTCCGACAAAGTTTTACCGTCGAATCTGGACTGTCTCTTCTCCTCTTCGAAGCTTGCTCTCTGCCTCTTTCCTCTGCTTCAGCGAACCTCTTCTCTCTCTCTCTCTATCAAGAACGTTCAACACATTTTCTTCTTTCTCTCTCTTTTCTTTTTCTTAAGATGATGAGTTGGGCCTCATAAGAGGCACACCTAGCCCAACACCTTATGCACGTTTACGCTGAGGCTCCGTCCTTCTCTCAATGGACGACCACGTCAAACCATCCAACCCCAACGACGCAATCCCAGCTTAATTGACCCGTACGTCGCACGGAAGTCGTCTCGATAACGAAACGAGAGATACCAGAAGCAACGTAAAACCTTGGTCCCAAAGGAGAAAGGAACTTGGGCGATCGAGATCTCTGGACATGACAGCCTAAATCTTTAATAAAGTTGGAGCCGAAACTTCCTACGCTCTTCTCCCTTGAATTTGTCGCGGTCGCTCCCTCTCTTGCTTCCAACCAAAGGCTCGTGAAGAACCTTAAAAGTGTTTCCCATTTTAAAAGCAAAAGAATTTGGCTTGGTGCTCCGCTGCTCGATGCTCATTATAAAATAATGTCCATTTTTCAGATTAGATTCGCCGCATGTAGATCGCCTTTAAATAAATTTACCTATGCAAGAGCGAATTAAATGCTGCACATCTAATCTAATCTAATCTAATCTAATCCTTAGATTAATCTTGGTCAGGTCTTCACAGAAGGAGAGTGTTGGCATTCTCTGTTTAGAGTTACTCTTGTAGTTTCTCTTGTTTATCATCTTTAAATCTTGCGATTTGGGCACGTCGACTTTTATTTGATACGAGACATTTAAATTTATCTCATATGTGTAAATGTTGAACTGTTAATATGCATATAGCACTTTTGCAATTTGAGGCCCCGCCTGATTTAATAGTTCGCATACAGGGTAAAAGCACAAAATCGATTTAATTAAATTGCCGGGTGGTGAGAGGCGAGTCGAAGCGAATATACCTCGGCTATATATAATTTTTTTTTCCGACTTCACCTTGAGATGGATGGTTCGAATCTCGCCGCGACCATCTTCTCAAGTCCTATTACATCATCCTCGGTGTCTTTTTGTCCGATCGTTATCGTCATTCAGGACGTGGATACTCCGCACCGCACGCTGCACGGCGCACGGTGGGTACTTCCATCGGCATCTCAATAGATCTCCACCGCTGATTCACGAAAACGGGGTTCGCTGCCGACGGCCGAGATTTATGGAGGCACCGAGAGGAGCGACGCGCACCGAGCGCGGGGATCTTCGAGATTTATGACGCGGAAAGTGCCCGAGCCATATTAATAAAATCGTAAATGAGAAGTACCGAGTCAAGGAAATTTCGTGAGGGCCCGGGAATTGCGTGAATCGAACGTCCTTTTTGGACGAAGTAAAACGAAGCGAATGCAGACATCGATGTGGAGGCACCTCCAGATCTACGCCCCCCCCCCCCCCCCCTCAAAGCACGGGTCGCCCCCCCCTCACGACAGACGTCTGCGGTAGTGGAGACGTTGGACCGCACAATATTCAATGACCACATAGAGTCACCCACTAAAGTCCAGCAAATTCAAATCATCAATAAAGTATAGTCTGAGATACGCTATTTCGCGAAAAACCCAGGTTCCGAAAATCATTTTCCTCAAGACGACCGCCCGTGCCGCTTGTAGAAATGAATGGACGGAAACTATTTTTATTGTTCATGAAAATATATAGGTATAAGTTGTCGTCGATAATGAAATTATTTTTTGTTGGCCGATTATTCCAATCGATGTAACAAATTATTTTTAAAAAAATATTGTAGGAATCTTTCATTTTCCGCGAGACAAACGAATCTGAACTCGAATGGAATCTGTCTTTTTCTCATTCTTCTCGTACTTTTGAGAGTATTTTTTGGAGTATACTTTCACCTGTGTCGTGTGAATAGGCTCAGGCGATTTCCGTGAGATAGTGTGAGGGATGGAGTATACTGATAGTGTGAGGGATGGAGTATACTGTAGTTCTGCATTATAGCACAACAATATAACGAAACGCGAGCTATGGTATGCGTCACCTTGATTTGTGCGCGTAAATTTTGCCCGATGGGGATCAGGTTACTAAAGTTACGATTTGTTTTTCGTTGATGTGCTTTGACCGATAGTCGATTGATTTCCATGTGGAAGGTTGATGCGTCGGCTGCGTTACTAACTGAAGCGAAAGTCCATTGCCTGATTGAAATCAATCGAAAGTTTAGCGATCGCCGGTCGAATTCCCCCTTCTATACGTGATAAGTATGCTTTTGTGACCGAGTTCTTACGTGTATTTGTTATCACAACAAGAAAAGATTCACGCATTCTGCGCATCCAACGGTGAATGTGTAAAAAAAAAAAATTCATGAAGACCCGGATGACAGAAGCATTGCCAGAAATGCTGACTGCTGCTAACTAGTTGGGCCTACAAGATTTAGTTAAGAAGTCAGTTGCTTGTTGATGAGGAGACCGGGGAGACTCGCACTAGTGCGAGATTCGAAACGTGCCGCTTTAAAAAGCCCGGCAACACAACGCTCTCCCTGCAAGCATACCCTTCCCTCTCTCTCTCTCTCTCTCTCGCTACAGGCTCTTTCAGGGGCAGCTTGTGCTCAAACCTTGGCTAGCTCCAGTGCATTAGCAGGGGAAATTTCTTGCCTTTGTGCTTTTGTGTTGTGCCAGAGAGATTTGAGCGAGAGAGACCCTCGACAAAATGAAGCTGTTGTGGGTTGGGATTGTTGTGGGACTCTGTCTCGGGGAGATGGTGAGTGGGAATGAGCTGGTTGGTTTCAATGCGACAGAGCTGTCCCATTTTGAAGCTCATGGAGCTTCCCTTGCTAATGCTAATGAACCTCTCATGGTTGGCCTCACTCTCATCCAAAGTGCTGCAGCAAAAGGAGCTGGTAACACCTCATTGCTTCAGAGATCATGTGATGTTAGAGTGCCTTTGCTGGCCTTTTTTGTCATTCCCTGTGAATTTGTACACGACTGTTATTTTTTCTGGGGCTCATGTCTATTGTGATTCATTCTTGGAGTGCTTAAGTATTAGCAAATATTTTTAGAGCAAGAGCTTCCGACTTCTGAGTTCGAGTTCTCTATGCCCCATAGTGTCCAGAAACTGAACTTATTTCATCTTTAGTCTTGATTAGATGCGCCAGTCTATGCGCGAGCAGGAGTTTTAACGAAATTCATTCAAAATCCTGCAGCTTGCTCATTTCCATGTGTCTAATTTTGCTCTTCTGTACTTAAGATTCAATCTTCGTTGAGTTTGAGCAATTAAAGTTGTAGATTTGCATGTGTTGTCATATTCTGTCTTAATCTGCATTTCTTGTGCTTTCAGTCTGTTTGGATGGAACATTACCCGGGTATCACTTGCATCGTGGATTCGGTTCAGGAGCTAACAGTTGGCTCATTCAGTTGGAGGTTAGTTAAAGGAACTTGTGGTCTCTAATTTGTCCGATGAATTGACAGCTTAATAATCATAATGGCTGTATACATCCCATAACATGCTATTATTACTGGTGCTACCTTTTGTGAATGTACAGACTTCAAAGTTTGATATGTCATCGCGATTTCATAGTAGACAGTCCTTATTAGCCCACGTACAGGAAGCATGTGGACACTTGTCTTAAGCTTCCTTTTGTATAATTGAACTTTACAAGACATATCAAGCCTTTCTCTTCGGAGATGTCTGATGAGTGCTTTTCTCCACATTCCTAAGAGACAACAAAAATGGCAGTAAATGCAAAATATGCAGTCTCATTCATCAGTGATCCTCTTGTGATCTATCTCGAAGAGAACATTGTTAGTCTTGTCTCAACAAATTACTTGCAAAAAGAACAACACGTGATTTTGCTTTTCCCAGGAGTCGGAAAGATAGCTGATTATATGATTGAAACTTTACTTTCTGAGGTACCTTATGGCAGGGGGGAGGATGGTGCAACAATGTGAGATCTTGTGTTTATCGGAAAAATACTCGACGTGGATCCTCTACATACATGGAAAAAGAGATACCCTTCACCGGAATACTGAGCAGCAGCCCTGAAGACAACCCTGGTTCTCTTCATGCTTTGCCTAAAATTTATTCCCAACTTTGGTTCTAGTCTTTGAATTTTCCTTTTGCTTCTAAAGGCTTAGCTTTAAAGGACTTCCAATGTGCAGATTTTTTCAACTGGAACAGAGTGAAGCTCCGCTACTGTGATGGTGCCTCTTTTATTGGGGACACTCAAGATAAGGTTCATTTTTTGTCGAACTTCTCAGTCTCGTGATTCTATGTTTGATAAATAGAGGTCCTTTGATAGAGATATCACATCATGCAGTCATATGTTGTTATTTTGTGGACCAAGAAAGTTTTCCTTTTGCAGTAGAGCTTGTTTGATTGGTTGACCATCTTGTGTTTCTTTTGTTGGTGTTTGTCTGCTAGATGTCAATTGCCTAACCGCATGACCAATGTTCAATTAAATTGATATAGCATCATTTGAATTGGCTAATTAAGCGAATTAGGAAAAGACTTTCATCTAATGTTAGCTTAGATTTCATTTAGCATGTTGATTTTAAAGTATAAACTACTTTAACTGAAGGATGCACAACTAGAGTTCAGAGGACAGCGCATATGGTCAGCTGCGATGGAAGATCTGATGTCAAAGGGAATGTCATCAGTCGAACAGGTTGAACACAAGTCTCTTCTTCTACTGCTGTGTAATCGTCTTGATCATTGAACCTCTGAATGTTGCTGTCTCTATAGTCATCTTTAACTCTTTTTGTCTGAAATTTTTGGGCTTCCAGGCCCTTCTTTCTGGGTGCTCTGCTGGTGGCCTGGCATCAATTCTTCACTGTGACGAGTTTCGTGATCTATTCCCTAAAACAACAAGAGTGAAGTGCTTGAGTGATGGCGGATTATTTCTTGATGTGTATGTATTGATATGCCTTGATTTTGTCCTTATTTCTCACACTTCACTCAATGAAGCATCTCATAAAATGTCTCTGGTGGCTTTGTTTCCCTGTATTCTAGGCTTGATGTATCTGGTGGGCGTACCCTCAGAAACTTCTACAGCGGTGTAGTGGATTTGCAGGTACGAGCACATTTTATTTCTCCTACACGTTTCAGTTTCAAGCTCCGGTCAGCCAACTTTTTCAGTTAAATTTATGCCATAAATCTAGGTTGCTTGAAGAATAGGGTCACATACTGTATGTCAAATCTGCTTTAGAATTGTTAAGCCATTTGAGAGTAGTATGTCGCACATGATGATATGCGATGTGTAGAATTAGCAAGTAGCTTTTTGGCTATTAGCAATGGTTTATGTATTCACATTTTCTTTGATTTCAGGGGGTGCAACAGAACCTTCCACGTACGTGCACCGATCGCCTTGACCCTACACTGGTATTCCTTTGCTGTCAACTTGAGTCCTTGAGTTTCCATACATACATATCTTGCTCTCATGAGTTTAATCATGGACACAGTAAATGCAGTTACTCATTCCCAAATTGATTTTCCTCTCTCCTAATGTTTATTCTTCCCAGTGTTTTTTCCCACAATACTTGATTGCCAGCATCAAGACCCCGCTATTTCTGCTCAATGCAGCGTATGATTCATGGCAGGTAACAACTCCCTTCTACAGAAAGCAACATCATGCAATGCATAGGGCAATGAATTGAGCTACCCGTGAAGATTTTAACATCATTTATCTTTTTATAAATCAGATTCAGGCCAGTCTAGCTCCACCAACGGCTGATCCTCAGGGATATTGGCATGAATGTACATTGAACCATGGCAAATGCACTTCGTCGCAGATTCAGTTTCTGCAAGGTGAGTTCTGCTTTGGCCTTATGCCAAGAAGTAATAAAATATGCATCCACAGTGGACCTATTAATCATGCTTATTTGTTTCTGCATATCTCAAATAGGGTTCAGGAGTCAAATGCTGAATGCGATCAAAGATTTCTCTCAGTCTAACCAAAATGGTTTGTTTATCAATTCGTGTTTCGCCCACTGCCAGTCCGAGAGGCAGGACACTTGGTTCGCCGACGATTCCCCACTTATCGGAAGCCAGGTATAATTGTTGTATCCGATTCTAGCATCATCCTCACTTCATGAATATACTAAACACTCGTGCATGATCCAAGTTAAACAGAGAACAACACCTTATTCATGTTATTAATTCACAACGTTGATGTGCAGCCAATTGCAATTGCTGTTGGGAATTGGTACTTTGATCGAGCAGTGGTGAAGGCCATCGATTGTGCTTACCCTTGCGACCACACCTGCCACAACCTTATCTTTAAATGACGGGACGATTCATCGGAGTTAACCCATTCACAGGACAGCTCTAGGGAAGTGATATACGCATACTTGGTCGGCAGAGGAATTTGCAGTTCATAGATAGTTGATAACAGACAATAAATACTGAAGGCTGCTGAGAAGTGCAAAAATTAAAGTCAGCTAGTCTCTTTTCATTCCTGTGGGGGTTGCTTGCTTTAGTCGTACAGATGAAGCTACAATTTTGCTCACTTGTCAAAGTTGTTCTCCAAAGTATCTCACTTGTGTCTGCACTAGCCAATCCAATATTGTTCATCAGGTACATCAAAAACGCCGTGTTTATGGGATTGTATCCCTCGACAGTGATTTCCTCTATTTGTATAGCAATTCTCTCAACATGTTTCAGTGACTCAGTGTTAGTACATGCACATCTTCCCTTTCAGCTCCACTTTTCCTTTTAAAGTGAACAGCAAGTTGCTTCCTAGTTTCTTGTCATAGTACTCTATCGAGACGAGTGGGAGCACGGATCGCTCGTGAGTGGAATGAAATGTGAATATCTAGTCATATTCACGATGATATTTCTATCCATGTAATCGATGAGAAGCTAAAAAGAACGTGTCACGTATTAAACTAGTAGCTTTTTCTTTGAGATGTAAGGCTAGAAAATTAGATTTGTCTAAAATGAAAATGCTTATTGGAACGTCGGGAGCATTAATTTTAGTGAAATATGGAAAAATATTCCGTATTGTGGATCGCTTGGAAAATTGTCTCGCACATAACTAGAGAAAATTTTCAATTTTAGTATGAAAAGAGCTGGAGAAATTTGCGATGAATTTTCCAAGGAGATGATTATTAAAGTTTCTCAACTACCATTTTATCAACTTGTCAATGGAAAATTTACTTTCCAATCTTTCTGCTGAGTCATATCCACTGAAAAAAAATGAACCAAATCAATCTATGAAAATCAGTGCAAAAGAAACTGTAGCTTTTATCTTTTGGAAGATGCTGATGAAACCAAGCTTATGATGCGTGTTAGCCATCTAATCTTGCATCCACAGAGACGGATGGAACCAAAAGTAAAGTTTGAGGTCTAATCTTAATCATACGGACAAAAAGTTGTCCCAGGCGAACCAAAACGAGGCATGGATTTTCTACGAATGAAGTCACCATCTCAGCACATGCAGGTCATATTACTGACTAAACCTTACAAAAATCAATACCCTCTTAAACTGTTGTGTCATGTGTGTCTCCAACATCCGAAATTTAAAAAAAAAAAAAGAAGAAGAATAAAAAATGAGTCCACAACGAGACACCAAGAGACATAGTTGCACAAGAATGGTATTTATAATCATGATGCAACTTTAACACATATTTGATGCACAAATGGGTGAACACATTTAAGCCCTAGGGATCAATCTCATACGTTCAGTAAAACAGAAGGGAATAAAAAAACAGAGGGTAAGAATTGCATCATTACCATTTACAATGCACACACCTGCCAAAAAGGGAAAAAAGGAAGAAGAAGAGGGTTGTTTGGAGATTTCTTGTTCATACTTCCTTGTCTTGAAACTTGTTCTTCACAGGCTCCAAAGAAGACGACGGATTTTGCCCTGAAGAAACAGCAATTACTTGAAGAGTCTTGCCATACGTGTCAGAACCTGGTGACGCTTGCAGAATCTGATCGTGTGGGCAATTGCTGATCAAGCCACCACCAGTCCCTGAGCATGTGCCTGCTGATGGTGTCACGTCACTGTGCTCCAGTTGAGAAGCTTCACTTTGTGAGAGGTTTAACACAAATGGAGTGTGGTGGAGATATTCGAACCATTTCGCGACTTCTGCATCACACACTGATGGGTGAATCTCGGTTTCTTTGTCAACTCTCCCACAGTCGGCCAATAACCATGAGATTGGAGAGTTTTCAAAGATTAGATCATTCTGCAAGTTAACAATGCTGCTCCAGTGGCTACTATTATCGCCATCGATATTGCAATAAAAGTTGTCAGCGGGTCTATTGGGCTTCAGAGCTGAATGGACCTGTTTTGGACTGATATCTGAGGAACTCCAATTGCAATTGTGATGTAGAGCAGTATTTGAACTTGCTGATAGACCCATGGTAGTTGAACATTTCAACTTCTGAAAGCATAGGTCGCCCGCCATATCTGTAGGCTGAAAACAGGTGATGAAGCTTCCATCATCAGCGATACCGGGCTTCCTGATTGAGAGCTCTGGAAATGAAGTCACTCTCAGACTCTGGCTGCTACTTGTAGAACTGGCCTGGGAAAGGTTCGGTGTAGTGGATGCAACAGATGCTACATCATTGCTTTCACCGATTGCATGAAACTTTACTTGGTCATTGTTTTCAACCTTAGAGAGGGGCTTATGTGTATTGGGGTCAATCCCATTTTGCCTGAGCTTCTTCTTTATGCAGGAGTTCCATAAGTTCTTTATCTCGTTGTCGGTCCTTCCAGGCAAATGTGCTGCAATCTGTGACCATCTGAAAGAAAGAAACACCCATTAGACTGCTTCATTTTGGAGATATTTTTTCGGTGATTGAAAAGAAACATATTAAATGTATGTTTTAAGAAAACTCTTCTTGGTTTTCAGTTTTGTCCCCATGAAAATGGACGATAACTGTTTCGAGAATCAAAGTCCTGAAGTGCAAATGCTACCGGTTGCCTAGAACTGCATGGAGTTCAATTATCAAACTCTCTTCCTGCTGGGAGAATGCACCTCTCTTCAAGTCAGGCCTCAGATAGTTTGTCCACCTTAACCGGCAACTCTTCCCACATCTTTGCAAGCCTACATAAATTAATTACGACATATGAAGCTGGCCAAAGAAGAAAGAAAATCATTCTCCACTTTTTCATTACTACAAAAGTGAATGGACTGACTTGTTTGATTTACCTGCAAGCTTGGGGACTGAGCTCCAACACCCATGTCCAAATTTGGTGATGCAGTTCAAAAGTTTCTCATCTTCCTCAGGCGACCACAGACCTTTCCTCAGCTTCTGTTTGTGACAGCAAGAGTGTCTTCCCATGCAAAATGCCTAGGTTTCAGGAAGAATCGCTCTAATATGTCAGGCAAATGAAGTGGAGAATGCGTGAAAGGAATATTGTAGGTAGAGACAGCGATAGATGTCGCAGAAATGAAGTGTGAACGTCATAAACTAGTTGAATTTATAAATAGCTTACTGGAAACAAGAATTGTTTTTTTCTTCTTTCTTTCTTTCTTTCATCTTTTTTAGGGGCTAAGATTTCAACAAATAACAAATCAGCTTTGCGGGCATTTGTTGCCTAATGAAGATGCGTGTGAGCTCCACATCAGCATCATGGGGCAGACAGCATCGTCGATAGACGGTCCAGATTCAGGTACTATATGACCTGCATGAGTCCCATCAGAGGTTTTAGTCTCAATGAATGTGTCAACTTAGCGGGCCTACTGGATAGATATTATCATTTGACTAAGGATATGTGTAATCACAAAGATTGCTTGTAGCCTTGCTAAAGAAATGCTGCAAATCGGAACGCGATGGTAACTGGTAATTGTGAAATTCATTCGCTCCATGAATTCTAATTAGGGAAACATGTATGGCGTATTAACAAGCAAGTTATCTAATTGTATCAGCAGATGCTTGAAGCATTCTTTGTCTCTTTTGAAGGACAAAACGGATACAATCAATAGACCCCTTCTTTTAGGACCTATTTCTGAACCAGATACCAGTCAAATACGACTAAACCTCATTCCTTGTGGCTCTTTCAGAAAATTTACGAATATCGTGAACACTTCCTGAAGTTCCATAATAGGTCCAAAAGCAGAAGTACTCTCAACGTGTTAGAGACATGGTAGAATAGGAGAATTGGGACATATCTTACTCTCTCATAAAGTTGCAAGAGTTTAAAGAATGCACAGTGATAGCCTGATATAGAATTGTCCATTCAAGAAATGCAAGGGTCAATTGTAACTGTTTTGATAATAATGATAACAAGAGATGAAACAGTGAAGTTACAGATTGATTTTCATTCCAAAAACAACTAATGACTCAAATAAACTTTGAGGGATAGAAAAACACAAAAACCAGAAATAGCCTCTTTTGGTTTCTCTCTGGCAAATTTCCTCTCGAGTTAAGAGTATTTTCAGAGAACTCTGATTTTAAATTCTGCTTAGGCCTGAGAGGTTGGGTGATTCAGCAAGACTAGGCTAAAACAGCTCATTTATCAAAGTATTCGAGAAGAAACTTGTTTAGCAGATCCAGAACATGTTGTACTGTACGTGACAAGTGCAACTATAAAATGAAGTTAACTGTATGTGCAGTTTAAGAACTGAAGTCATGTCATAACTATGAAAGGCAAATACATTATTCCCTTTTGCATGTTCTCAAAAGCAAGGAGAAATAAATCAAATTCCGTAACTATAACTTTGCACTAACTACTTTTTTCCTCTTCGCTTGTCTTGACATCATGATCGCGGTAAGAACTGGTTATGACATTTAGTACAAATTTTTACCTTCTCTACAGAGTTTATCTTAAACATTGCACACAATGTGTTCAAAGGCGTGGCAGTTCTAGGAAATAAATGAGAAGCAACAGCTGCTATGTTATGTTTAACTGTATCTTCTGGGATTGAAGCTGTACAAAATCATTACTGACATTACTATCATGGATGAGAGTGCTCTCCACGGCCAGAGGAGAGAAGAAGCCAAGAAATCGTTAAAACGGGGTGGAGTTTGGTGAGAAGTTTCACACCTCCATTATTATATACATTGAAATACTAGTACCAATTACATTAATCACTGGCCTGTCAGTTTGTTCATTGTACTTCCAGACATGAAGCTTCCGTGACCTTTGCTAATTTCCCAATTGAGACAAACGCTTTAACAATTTGACTTACATTTAAAAATGAAAGTAAGTCCAGATATCCATCGTGCTTATGAGAAGAGTGGTTGCTGTTGCAAAAAGTTAACTGCCGTGACCTTGTCGCTCCCCTTCCAATCTAGGTTAATAATTTGAATAATAAGTCAACTTTATTGATGGTTAATCTGTCAATTCACTTAGTTAAGTCGGTGCGGAATTCTCTGAAAGGTGAAGTGTTTTACAGCTTTAATGCTTGGAATAAGCGTAGATATTCATTGTCAGAACTGGGCAACCATCTTCTGATCTCATCATCACCTGCACGCACCAATACATGTTGCTCTTGTTACTTCGATTTCCAACTCTGGGTTCAGTCACTTATGCAGACTATTTTTACAACTTGTGGATCTTGCTGTCACCGCTGCTGACTGCTATCTTGAGATATAAAGATGAACTTTAGAGGCATTTTTCTGGTGTTACTTTGCAATATGCTCTTATGCACGAAGAACCACAGAGAGATGTAGATTCTGATATCTTTTTTCGGGCCATCCATCATACTTTTTCGCGAAAGTGTAATGGATACGATCTTGGTGAAGCAAATTAGAGGCCAGTTGTGATGGTTAGTTATGATGGGGAATAAACCCATGCTTTTGATATCAATGAAAGGAAAGACTTGAACCTGCTTCACAATCAAATTGTCATTTGAATAAGAGGGGGACATAATCTACATGTCTTTGAACAAAAATTTCCTACCCTTACGAGTCATCAATTTCCTAACACTTCTCGAGTGCACATCGAGACAACTAATCGACAAGAAAGCTTACGACAGTGGCATTGTAGGCAGCACATCGCCATTCTTACATAGAGCAGATATCACTATCCCTAGTAGAATCACATCCAGTATTTAATATTATTTACATATGAATCAGATACTTCACCCTATACATAGTGCAGATAAGAAGTTAATTGCTAAATATAGGTCTATGGTGCCTTTTTATCCCTTTCAACAATCATTATTTGGCTAAGAAGATGGACAACATTGGTGTACTAGGCATTTTCAAAATAAATGAGGGTCACGTTCGAGATGATGGTCCTGAATGCTGAGTCATCCTTCTTAATTGGCCCATTTAACAGTATTTGGAAACATAAGCACATGGATGCTTTGCTATTCAAAATCACAAGAAAATTGTTAATCGTTTTGTCTTGTCAAGACCAAAGAGCAATAATGATGGCAGCATGGCCATCGTTATCGTGACTTTTCTTACCATTTATAGAAGCTTAAGATCTCCAGAGCAATGATGTTTAGATAAAAACTGCTGTTCAATCTCCACTTAATTCCTGTATTGAGCATTCTAATGAGTTTTAGCAGCAGTGATCTTATGCAAAGAAGGAGGGCTTTAAATGGGTGGTTTTGGTTCTTGTCAAGTGGCAAAGGACAAGGAAGGCCCCAAATCACAGTACAAATTGACTTTATTAAGAAGGCAACATGATAAGAAGTCTTTCCATCCTTTTTCAAATCACATCAATTATCAACAAGCTTTGCCTGGTTGAAGTGCTCCCTTGTCCCCCTATCTTTACATAATTGCCACCTCACTTTTGGTTTGTAGTGGGAAGTGACGGTCAACTTTTCCTGCAACACTTAAGTAATTGCTTTTTCTTGGGTCTTGGGAGCAAGCGTTTGCCCTTAATTTCACTGTTTCAGATGCTCAAATGAAGCTCTAGAGTGACCCCTTGGAAAAGCAAAGCCACTTTTCTTATGAACCTTGTGTCCTGCTCTTATTGGAGAATGGCTTGATTAACACACTAAAAGTTAAAAGACATTGAGCAAATTCAGATGAGAAATTCTTTGGGACAAGTAAGTAATGCCAACTCTTCTTCGTCTCAATACATATCTCTAAACACCACGGAGACCTCTAGTTCTCGCTTAGTTTATATAATAAATTTATCATTCACACTTTTTCTTTGCTTTACCATGATGTTTATGACTGTATCTAGGACTTTGTTGTAGTTGTTTATTTATGTACTTCTGACACCGCAGTATGAATCGCTGCGCTTAAACCTCTCTTGTAGGCAACATAACCGAATTTCAAGATGATGAATAGAGCAATCATCTAGTTCCTTTTCAATTCTAGCTATGACAGTATTTTGCTCAATCCTGACATATTTGATGTGGATGAAAGCCATTTCCTGCATTTGATGTCTTCTTAAGACGTTTATTTCAGAGTGGTAGCAGTCACAGAGAAGAAGAGAGCATCACAGGCCATGACAAACATATTAGCTCCATCATGCAGCATCGGCTAGATATTCTCACTTGCTTTAAAATGGTCGGGACTAGTCCACGAGGTATTCTTGCTCACCTAGACCACACAAAGAGTCAAAACCCTGTAAAGAGCTTTCTGGGCATTTTGCTAGTCCAGTAAGATTTCCGCAACTTGAAATGTTGCCATGCTATGGTTTTCCGAAATTAGGACAATGGAAACCAAAATGCCTCGAGATTTTATGATTCAAGGCACCATGATAATTAACCATGCATGATCAAAACGATCAGACACAACATCTGTTGGACGAGCTTTGCTCGCTTCACTGTACAACTCCGTATGTTAGGACTCAGGAGCTAAGATTTCTGACATTTACTTCCACATTGTTGAAATTGCCAAGTGCCAACTGCTGAGGATATCATCATCAGCAGGAGAACAGATCTACTCTGTGTATAGGCAAAATCGCAAAATAACTCTTTGGAAACACTAGGAAGCCAATGCAAATAGTATTGATTCAAATTTATCGAGAGTTCAAGCCAAAGAGCACCATGCGTGAACAAGAACTTAAGACTCAGGTAACACTAAATTAGCTCACTAACTCTAATTGAGATGCTAAAATGCCAGAACGACGATGCTCCGAGGGCAAGTCATAATCAGTCATTGCAGAAGCAGCCAAGTATCTTAGTACTTTACATACAAGATCAAGTCGTCAAGATTTGCTATTTGTTAAGTATAGCGTAAGAGAGGAGACTTGCACTTGCAAAAACACATTTCATTTACGGTGATTGAGAAAACATTTCTTTATTCTATTCTTACATCAGATTAACAAATCATGCTTAATTTGTTATGTAAGACAAATCTAAGAGTCAACAGTAAACTAAGCTTCCTCCGCCAACCAAAATCTGTGCTATGGCTAGTTGAACAACACCTAATTCAACCGGTCATTGTAAAATTTTAACCTCGTTGACTCAGACGAGGATTTCCAGATGTGTAACAGAAGTTGCAGAGAAGGCAAAAGAGGGAATCTCTGATGGTGGTACTCAAGCAAAC